CACTATCACTCTCCACCAGACTCCAGAGACAAAAACACTCATTTTACCTTCAGATCATCCTAACTTCGTAACTTCAATCAAAGTGGACAGAAACAGAATAAAACTCAAAAAACAGTCTTTGTTAGTCTTTCCAACAATGATTTACTCTGGTTTGGTAGGAATAAATCCTTAATTCACAGAATTAGATGATAAAATATTGTGAAAAGAGCTGCAATGTAAGCTAATGTTAATCCTCCAAAAACAGACCTTCTAGAAATATTCTCAAATATAATCAAATGTTTCTGGTATTCAGAAATAAATCTGCCAGTGAAGTAACACAGTTTAGCTTGGCTATAATTCTTAAACCTAGCATAAAAATCTAACCAAAATTCAACTTTCTGTTAAACTGAGAAGGTTTTACTCTGCTTATTAAGACATATTTTCTCCAAACAAGATAACTTTTCAAAGCAGAAGCAGAATATTTGTAATAAATAAGACTAATTTCCTTGATTCTTTTGCACTCTGACAGAAAAATAAAGTTTAGGATTATAATTTGAATGGTTTCACACAGATTTGGGTTCAGTTTACTCTTTAAAAAGTCACATTAAAGCCTCTACCTCTTTCTCTGTCTTTGCCACTTTGGCCTCAGCGTCGTATCTGTCCTCATCAATCTTGTCGAGGGCCTGGAACAGCTTCTTGCAGATGTCCTGTAGATAAGAGACACTGTGTCACACACTAAGCTCTTCCTCCTTCTCCTCATCCTCCTCCTCCTCCTCGCTTCAGGACTGTTTATTTGTGCGTATTTACCACCAGAGCCGCCTGGTCTCCGCTCAGGTCGGGGGTGGCGCAGTTCTCCGCCATGTAAGCCTCCTTGGCGGCCGCGATGTCGGTGGCTTCCTGCTCCAGCCAGGCCGCAGCGATCTGCAGCATCAAACTCTGCAGGACACAAACACAGAGAACTTATTAATTAATAATTTAGCTACAATAGCTAGCTAACCTTTCTCCTGTTCAATGAGTAAACTGATATAGTTTATGAATGTTTCATTTTATATTCAATGCAACAATTGATATAAACTGACTTTTTATCCAATTTTCTATCTGTTTTATGTATTTTTAATTGTTTTTTTTTGACAGATTCTCTGTGTTGTTTTCTAATGCAGGACGAGGCTGTTTATCAGAGACTCTGTGAATATATCTTGAGTTCAGGACTTCAAACTTTAGATCTTGAATAATAATCTACATTATATCACATTATAAAGCCGTTTAGCTAACATGCTAAGAAGCAAATGATCCACCACACAGCAACATTATCATTATTATGTTACCTTGAGATGATGCCTGCGGCTTGATGTCATCTTCTTTCCCCTTTAATGAATGAAAACATTAATTAACATGTTGATAACTTGTTTCCCTTTTTTATTCAATTAAATTTAGATTGTCGTGGGAATGAAAACTGATACTTACTCAGACATCTTGGCTGCTTTTTAGTTTCAGACTGTAAAATAATCAGAAGAAAACGGTTAAAGTGGCACATTGTTCTTATTATATGAGAGGTTATTGTCTCATACAGATGGTAAATACAAATAGACCTATTTTATGGATATTTCATCATATATTAGAAACTGTACAATGATCCCAAAACAGTGAACTCAGTAACTTCAGGAAGTTTGTTTAAAACAAGTGATTTCGATGCATTTTGAGCAGATTATTTCCTGTTTTAGGAAACATTTTATACAATTCTCTGTCTGTATTATGTATATTTATTATTATTTTTTATACATCCAGATAATTAAGGCCTCTAATTGATACACCAGGCTAGTAAAGGAGACCTGCTTCTAACTGAAGTTTTACGGTATTAAGAAAGCTAAAATGTGCAGCACACTCGTATATCTAACATAGGATCTAAAATGAATCCTTAAACCTGAGGGCCTCTGGGGGCCCCTCTGCAGGTTCCAGGGGACTCGTGTGCATTTGGTCATTTCTCTGATTTAAAAATAGAAACTTCAGTATCTGGGCCAATCGGGTCAATGCTAATCCTGGCTCAGGGTCAAAGGTCAGCAGTGACATTTATGATTATTTCTTTATGAGCAGTTACTCCGGACGTATTTTATTAGCTAAACATTCAGTCACTTAATAAACAAAATAAAATAAATTCCAGAATTTACAACCAAACTCCATTCATATTTTTATTAATTTTAACCTCAGATAAAAACAGTTGAATTAAACAGCTTTAGACTTTATTTACCAAACAGTAAACGAACCAGATGTTAAAAGACTTTCAGGTTTGCATTCCTCTAATTTTTTAAAATGTTATTATTATTATTATTATTATTATTTTTATTATTGTTATATAACTTTATAACAACAGTAAAACTCTATTTAAATCTGTAAACGCAGAATGAGATTTCTGGTGGTTCCGTTTGAAAGATCAGTAATTACGGATGCAATCACCTGTCAGCTGTAATCTGATATTTGGGTTATTTTTCACCAGCAGGTAACCGGATACTCTGGCAGTTAAATGAGAAAGAAAAAGCAGACTTGGAAGCAACCGAAAGACTTTTTGCACGAATGCAGAATTGATAAAACAAGAAGAAATCCAAACTTGTTTTAAGTAATAGATGGAAAGACTAGTGCAAGAAGGCAGAAAATAATCCAAAATATAGAAAAAATAAGACTCTGCACACACATTTTTACTAATATTAAATACTTTTCTTGGACTTAAGTGAACAAAATCCTCTTTTTTTCCCCGCAGTTTTGTGTAAACTTAAAAACAAATAAATACGATATAACTGCTCAACTCCCAACAGAGACACATAATAACATTTATAAATACTTGAATTTAAAGAGGAAACACAAGGATGTCCTATGCAACCGCGCAGTGCTTCCCCACAAAATCCACAAAGTAAAAGAGTTTCTCACCTACAACAGTGACGATGAGGAGGGCAGCAGAGACTGACAGAAGGACAGTGAGGGAGTCACGGACTACAAAGTGAAATCTGCGGGGTATTTATGTGCTTGGACAGGGATTTGGAGGTTCCTCTTTATGGCCATGAGGAACTCTTGAGACCAACCCGGGCCAATGAGCTCCTGAAATACCTTCATCCTTTGACCGCTCACCTTGTAAATCCTGCTGACATCGGCTCTGTCCGAGGTGGTCAGCAGTCCTCAGGACGAGGAGAGAGCTGGGAAAAGAGAAAATATGAGAATTTGTGGGACTCAAAGTGCTGGATGATGAGAAAAATGTTGATGATGAAATTAACAAAATAAGAGACGTTGTTGTTGTTCTTCTCTCAGATGTTTTAACTCCTCACACTGTAAATGTTTTACTTCTTTTAGCTTGTTTAGCTTCTTCACTGTAAAAACAACAGCTACAACAATTTCAAAGGTAATTCACTTCTTCACTAAGTTTTAAGTCAAACTCAAACAAACTACAAACAATTAACTAAAATAATTTAAAATAAACTTAAAATAAACTTAAATCTTTGAGATTTGGAAACAAAAAAGTCTGTATTGTAGAGAAAATTCATTTAAGTATATATATACTATATATATATTTATTAACTGTTACTCAGTTAATAAATATATTTATTTTTTATTGAAATCAGTTCATTTTAACTGCAAACTTTGTTTTGAAATACAGATTTTTTTTTCAAAATTAAAGCTAACTAAGAAAAGTAAATTGTCTCAAACAAAAGATTATAATTTGCAAATCTTTTTTAGAAAAGGCTGCAAAGTCCTACAGCTAGCACGGATAGCTAGCTAGCAAAACAAAAGTGTAGCTAGCACAAGCTTAGGTGGTTTCATTAAGGGCCTTTTTGAAAAGCAGAAACATGTTTCTAGATTACATTTTAACATGATTACAACCAAGAAGAGCGATTATTTAGCATAGCTAGCATTCAGCACCATTTAAAGCTGCAGTGTAGTAACTTTTATAAAACTAACTTCTTGTAATATTTATTGAAACTTTCACTATGTCCTGAAATATTGATGCTGGAAATGAGACAAAACAATCAACTATCTTAAAGGCACCAACCCAAAGCATCTTTCCATCTTTCTCGGCTCTGATTGGTTGTTTTTGTTCGGGCCCGGTGGATTCATGTAAGTACCACTCAGAGCTCTAAGAGGAGTCAGAGGAACCTGATTT